TTGCCTAGGATGATTATGAAAGCAGTTAAAGGAGAATTTGCAGTTTTAAATTTCCCACATTATGCCAGGAGTGTTTTTCAGTCAGGTTGACTTTGTTTTCAAAGTGTGAGGGTGTGTGTCATCATGGACTGTCCAAGTGTTAATGTTTTATGGAAGTTTAAGATCCTCTCTGGCTATTTTATTTCATTGGGATGAACTTTCGTTACTGGTTAAAATAATTGACGAGTACTTTTGACATAAAATTCGTGAGTTGTCCATCTCAAGTGAAGAGATTTTGCTTCTTAATTTTATGAGGTCCTTTAAAAGAGGAAGTGCATTAGATTATTTTGAGTACAATCTCTTCTTCTCCCTTGAAATCTTAATTATTAATATGCAGTTATTTTTTACTTTAAAAGGGTGTTACACTAAGATATAAATCTATTCAGCAGTAGAGAATATCATGGGAAGTCAGAAGACAGAGTGGGGCTTGTTTTGTGGCATATGTTTACTCTTTCTGCATTATAAATAATAGAATTGTGAAAGTTTGAAAACACCAACCTCCATTATAATGGACCTTTAGTACCTAAGTGAGAAGACATAAAAATTTAGTAGATGGATATTTGGTGAAGTCCGTTCTTACTAGATAAAGGCAAAATCACCTGTAGTCAAAATCCCTTATTCCCATTCAGTTCATTGTATTTTATTTATGCTATCACCTGTTAGATCCAACAGAATCTTTTCTTAAGTTTTGAAACACTTTTTCTTTATTTGAGTACCAGATGGCTATTTGTCTTGAAGTCCTAGAATCCCACTCAGGGCAGTAAACAGATCAGGGGAAACAAGGCCAATTTAGGGAGCAGCAGATTCACGACTCCATTTCATCCCCTTTCTGGAGCAACAAGGCTTAAATTAGACCGTCAAATGGAACTACCTGCTTGCTCCTGGGCTCACACTGAAGGTTATGTGATGTGATTCCTTTGGATTCTACACCTTTTAAGTTCTTTGTCCCACTTTACTGGTAAATGTATATGTACACATCTATATGTATGTGTGTATTTATATTTGCGAATATTGGCATTCAAGGTCTATTTTGTCCTACTAATTATAAAAAGTACATATTGATCAGTAACTGGAATTATAAAATATGTATTTATCAGTTTCTGCCTCTTCCTTAAGAATCATAGAGCTAAGTGACCTTAGAAATCATCTAGCTCAATCCATTTATTTTACAGGAGATAGAATTGTGATCCAGAGAGGCTAAGTGATCTGTCCCCAGTCACATTGCTAGTTTTTGACTGAACTAAGTCTAGATTTCATATCTCCTGGTCCTGGCTCAGTGCTCTTTTTACTATAATACATCCCTTTCCACTCATGAGATGATGGATCTTCCTTCTATTTAGATATGTGTATGTATTGATTAGCATTAAAAACAAATAAAACATTTAAAACAAATAAAAAAACTAAATTAATTTCACTGAGTGGCCAAATATAAGTACAGGACTTTTTGGTAAATTTTTACCATTATAGTATCTTTCAAAAGCTTTATGTAGAGTTTAGTAGTTGATGACTTGAAATACAAACAAGTGGCAAATTTTCCTTGTTGAGGTTGGTAGCAGAGTTTTGTTTTTCTGAGGAACAAAATATTCCCAATCTATTCTCCACATGTGTCCAGAATGATCTTTTAAAAATAAGCAAACCCAGTCATGTTAATCCTCTGTGTAAACTCCCGTAACAGCTCCCTTTTGCCTTCAGGATAAAATCTAAACCCTTACTATGGCCTAAAGGCCCCTGGTGCTCTGGGCCTTGCGGACATCAGCCTGCCTACCTCTGCTCTCCCTGTAATCATAGTTAACTTCTTTCAGTTCTTAGAATGCATCCAGCTCTTTTACGACGGGCACTTTCAATGTGCACGTTAGCTGACTATTGTTCATGCAAATTACCAAAATAGTGGCTTAAGAAAACACCAATGTGTCCAGAGTCTTTTAAAAATAAGCAAACCCAGTCATGTTAATCCTCTGTGTAAACTCCCGTAACAGCTCCCTTTTGCCTTCAGGATAAAATCTAAACCCTTACTATGGCCTAAAGGCCCCTGGTGCTCTGGGCCTTGCGGACATCAGCCTGCCTACCTCTGCTCTCCCTGTAATCATAGTTAACTTCTTTCAGTTCTTTGAATGCATCCAGCTCTTTTACCTTCGGGCCTTTCAATGTGCACGTTAGCTTTCTATTGCTTCATAGCAAATTACCACAAATTTAGTGGCTTAAGAAAACACCAATTTGTTTCACAGTTTTTGTAGATAAGAAGTCTGACATGATATGGTTGGATTCTCTTCTTAGGGTCTTATCAGGCTAAAATCAAAGTAATGCCCTGGGCTGTGGCTCTCCTCTGGGGCTCCGGGTCCTCTTTAGAGCTCACTGGTTATTGGCAGAATTCAGATCCCCATTTCCTTGACACATCTTTAAGTCAACAGTGGTATGTCAAACACTTCTCATTCTTGAAATCTCTTTGCCTTACTCTTCTGTCACATCTCTATTGCTTCCTCTTCTGTCCTCAGCCAGGAGAAAGCTCTGCTTTTAAGGACTCATGTGACTACTTCAGCCCCACCTGGATAACCCAGGAGAATGATCTCCTTATTTTAAGGTCAACTAATTAGTAACCTTAATTATACCTGCAAAGTCTCTTTTGCCATGGAGAGTAACATATTATGGCTGTGACACCAGAGGGCAGAGGTCATGGAGGTCAAAATTCTGCCTCCCACAATGCAGTACCCTCTGACTGGAATACTCTTTCTTGTCCCTGTATCCTGCTCCTTCATGTGCTGACTCTTCCTTTGTCTCCTGGGTCTCTGATTTCTTTTTGTCCCTCTTTTTTAACCTATTCTCAAGTTTGGGTTAGGAACCTCTCTTCAGTACTTGCCTATTACTGTATGCTTCCCTATTGAACCACTTGTCGATTGCTATGCTTATCCATATCCTTTCAGGGGACTGTTGGTTAGCTCTTTGAGGAGAGAAGCCTTGTTTGGGAACATTTGTGTTTTCCTGCTTAACCTTATGTCTGCCATACAGTTGATACCCATTAAAAAAAAAAGTTGAATCAATGAATTATTTATATCCATGAAAAGTAGAAACATGATAACTCTCTCTCTCTTTTTTTCTTTTGAGGAAGATCAGCCCTGAGCTAACATCTGCCAATCCTTCTCTTTTTGCTGAGGAAGACTGGCCCTGAGCTAACATCCATGCCCATCTTTCTCTACTTTATATGTGGGACGCCTACCACAGTGTGGCTTGATGAGTGGTGCTGTGTCCGCACCCGGGATCCGAACCAGCGGACCCCAGGCTGCCAAAGTGGAACGTGTGAACTTAACCGCTGTGCCAGCAGGCCAGCCCCGATAACTCTCTTTAAGATGAATTTCTAAGACTGTCACCCAGAAGAAGAGAGGACAGTTTTAACTCAATATGTACAAATGACTAAAAAAAAAAAAGAAATGATTTGCTTTTGTGAGGTAGTGTGCTCCTCATTACTGGAAACTTTTAGCTGAAAGCTGAATGACAGAGTGTCAGGAATATTGTTGGGAGGCTAATGTACATGAACTCTACTTTATGACTCATTCTTTGTTAGGGCTGCTGCAAGACCAGTGGAGATGGAGTTGCTTGTATTCCTCTGCCTGTGGCTCCCAGGAGAGACCTACGTGCCGTCATCACTAGCAATATCCCTGTCCATTCACTGCAGAATTATCCAGCCTGGTGGATCTGGAATAATTGATTCCCTAGTGCTTTGACCTGTGCTGGTTACTGAATCATAACTGAATGGCAAGATTAGTAGTAGAGTTACTTTTACAATTCATTAAGTGTGCAGAAGTGAGATTAGAAGTAAAAAGACTATTAACATACACTAGTAGAGAAGGAGTATTGTCGTTAGTGCCATCAAGTCAATTCTGACTCCTATCGACCCTGTGTGCAGCACAACAGAATCCTGCCTGGTCTTTTTGCGCCATCCTCTCACCTTCCGGCACTCTATCAAACAATGCTCCGTGGCTATTCACAGGGTTTTCATGGCCAACTTTTTCAGAAGTGTGTGGCTAAGTCTTTCTTCCTAGTCTATCTAGTCTGGAAGCCCTGCTGAAACCTGTCCACCATTGGTTACCTTCTGGTATTTGAAATACTGGTGGCAGAGCTTGCAGCATCACAGCAACATGTAGCCACCACAGTATGATGACCATCAGACAGCTGGTGTGGTTCCCTGACTGCAGAGCATTCACTAGACCACCAGAGCTGAGAGAAGGACTGTAGTGTAGTGTTTAAGAGCAGGGTTTTTGGTTCAAACTCCAGCTCTACCACTTACTAGCTGTGTGACTTTGAACAAGGTACTTAAGTCTGTGTGCTTCAGTTTCCTAATCTGTGAAATGGAGATGCTAATAGTAGAACCTAACTTGTAGAGTGATTGTGAGAATTAAATAGGCAAGATAGTAAAGGATGTAGTGCCGAGGATATAATAAGCATTGTGTAAGGGTTAGCTATCATCATCATCATCATCATCATCATCATCATCATCAACAACAACAACAACAACATTATCCTACAGGCACATTAAAGATGTTTCAAGACCTACAACATGTACACAGTGTCTGGCATATACTTGGAATACAGTGATATTTTTGAGTTAATAAATAATATGTTCATTTGTAATTTTTATTTATATTTACTCCTTAACTATAGGAAATGGTTCCAGTAACTTTATAATTAAAGTTACTGTGTTGCTCAGAGCTTGCTAAGGCCAGGCTGAAAAATATCTCCTGCTAAGACTTACCTTATCTCTTCTTTTCTCTTATTAAAGTAAATGGATGTTTTAAAAAGCCTTTTGAATTTTTTTTTCCAGGATAAAGAAAACATAATCACGTGAAATTAATATTTTACATATAGATGTATGTAATTTTCTGGATGATAAATTGAAATATTCTTGCTACAGAAATGTTTTCATGTGAATTCAGATGAGATGTTAACACTTTGCTTGTTTTCGCAAACAGGTTCATCCTAAATTCCACTATAAACAGGCTCATGACCCAGGCACAGACACTTCTTGCGTTGCTTTCTCCTATGATGGTAATGTCCTTGCCTCTCGTGGAGGTAGGTTGAAAGCTTTCTTTTTGATGTGTTTTTATATTTAAAATGATCATACTTCATGCTAACAGATGTCACACTGGTATCCTAGCACTTAGTAAAGCTAGCTGTGCTTTTATTAACGTGCCTTTGCCAATCTGATTTTTTTCATTAGAATCCATTTGCAACTTGGCAATATTGTTTTATTAAAAGGGATCAAGCTGGGGTCAGCCCTGTGGCTGAGTGGTTAAGTTTGTGCACTCCGCTTCAGCAGCCCGGGGTTCACCGGTTTGGATCCTGGGCGCAGACCTAGCATTGCTCATCAAGCCATGGTGTGGCAGCATGCCACCTAGAGGAACTAGGATGACCTACAACTAGGATATACAACTATATACTGGGGCTTTAGGGAGAGGAAAAGAAAAAGAAAAGAGGAAGATTGGTAACAGATGTTAGCTCAGGGTCAATCTTCTCACCAAAAAAAAAAAAAAAGGGGGGGAATCAAGTACAATTTAGAAAATGTATACTTTTTTGCCTAAGTTTTTATTTTCGCTTCAAATCCCATCAAAGTTTGAAGCCTCCAAGGATGACCTTTGCGTATACTTTATAGAATTTTATAGACAATGTTCTACATTCTTTCTATACCATTTTATAATTCTAGGTCTGGTATTTCAAAATCTTCTATTTGCTGACCATTGATTTTTTTCCGTTCAAACACCAACTGAATTCAGTTAAAGGAGGTTGTATACCCAGATGTTATTTTCTAATAGCTACATATAGATCATGTTGTAAGTTTACTTATCCATACACATATAGTTGAATATAGGTTGTTTCTGATTTTTTGCTAAATCTTTCTCACATGGATAAGCTGTGCATTGATAGGAAGAGATAAGAGAATAGTGAGGGCAGCTTATGAGCAAAGCATTATGGGGAAGTGTGGGACATGACTGAAGATCTTCCATGGGCCCACTTGTGGGGAGAGAAAAGTAGGAAAAGTCAGTAGATCGGAGCCATGTTACAGATGGCCTTAAATATCACATAAAGGATGTAGTCTTTATTTCGCAGGCCAAATTAATTTAGCAACAGTACATTTAGTCGTTCATTCACTCATTCAACTTCTATATATTGAGCAGCTGCTCTAAGCCGACATTATGCTAGGTGCTGGGTATAGGCTGTGAACATCATAGGCAGGGTTCCTTTCCTGAAAGAATTTACAACCTGATGTAGAGGGGAGTGGAAGTGAGGAGGAGATGAAGAGACTTGGCACAGCTTTCCCCTCAGTTTAACCAGTCCATGTCCTTTTACCCTCGGGAGCTCCATTCAGATTCTCTTTCCTCCAAGGAACCTTATCTATTATATCTAAACTACCCTCACTTACATAATTTTTTAAAAACCAAAGCAAGTGTACATGTATTTTCTATTTATGGTATACATGACAAAGGTGGATATGTATAAAATATGTATTTTGGTCCATCAGTTCTAAGCTGCTACTTGCATCCTGAGATGACTCTTAATTAAGACTATACATACTCTACTTACAAATGGTGGTTCTTACCCCAGAAGTGTATCTGAATCCCCTAGGAAGGTTTTTCAAATGATAAGTGCTCCACTTAGAAATTATCACATTCAGGGCTGGCCCAGTGGCTGAGTGGTTAAGTTCACTCACTCTGCTTCAGCGGCCCAGGGTTTCGCTGTTTCAGATCCTGGGCATGGAGATGGCACTGCTTATCAAGCCATGCTGAGGTGGTGTCCCACATAGTACAACCGGAAGGACCTACAACTAGAATATACAACTATGCACTGGGGGCCTTTGGGGAGAAGGAGGGGAAAAAAAGATTGGCAACTGATGTTAGCTCAGGTGCCAATCTTTAAAAAAAAAAAGAAACAAAGAAATTGCCACATTCACTCTTGCATCTTCAGATTGTATACCCAAATCTCCAAGGTGGAGTGGAGAGGGAAGAGAGGGATAAGAGTTTGAAAATTCTCCCCAGAGGATTCTAAAATAGGCCAGTCCCCATCCAATTGATAATTACTGCCTTAGAAGCATAGGCCTAACTCCACTTCAGTCAAAGCCATTTTGCTGATAATTCTTACTTTCCCTTTCCATCCTCTAATAGCTATTGGGTCACATGTCATCAACACAACATGTATACCATATTCTATCATTTTCCTTCCTCAATGTATAGAATATGGCAGATGGAAGTCTGTTCAGTAGAGAGTCCCCAGGGTGTGGTAAGGTGCTCCTGCTAGCTCCAGAACTTGCCAGCTTAGCTAAACTATTTAATGCAGGTTAATGTTTTCTTATTGTTTGAGAATTGTGAAGATCTGTAATCTTTTTTTAAGACTAAAAGCAAAAAGGTGAGTCTTACAAAGTCCTTCCAATATAAGCAGGTCCCTAGTCCAGCCAGTTGTGGATTAGTGCACCTGCCAAAAGTGGGATTTCAGAGGAAGGGTCGCTGGGGAGAGAACGGAGATTTCTATTGAACTCTCCACTCACCTCACTTGCATCTGATAGTGATTCCTGTTGGACTCAAGGGCTTGAGGCAGGTCTCAGCTGTGGACACTGGGGAGAAGGAAGAGCAAAGACATTACTTATATGAGTTTTGGCTTTCATTCTGGTCAGGAATTAGTTAGTAGCCCTGTAGAAATATTTTAAAAAATGATGCTTAAAAGAATATTAATTATACTTTAAATAGCTTGGAAACACTGTACTCCCCAGCAGAGTGAAGAATGATAGCCACAGGTAGAGTTACACTGTAGGGGAGGGAATCGCATGGCTCACCCTCATTAACGTTAATGGATAGCTTCACCTACACACTAGTGGGAAAAAGAATCTGTTGTGAATTGAACTGTTTTCGGGCCTGATGGTTGTTAAATTAATATCTTCTTTAGAAGTCAGGTTATGCTCAAATAGACCACAGGGGAACTACCATCTGCTCTAAAATCACTCTTTAGAGTAGATTCTCCAGGGTTCCTTCTAGCCTATAGATGCTACATCATTCTGGAAAGTAATTTCTAGAAGGCCAGTTCATTGTCATATATCTTTCTACTGTTCTTGCAACTACTGCTTTCAAGCTCCCCAAACGGTTAAAAAAGCAAAACATGCTTATGTACATCTCCTTCCTTCCTTCTTTCCTTCCTTCCCTCCCTCCCTCTCTCCCCCTCCTTCCCTTCCCTCCCTTTCTCCCTCTTTTCTTCCCTTTCTCCCTTTCTTCTTATAGTTGTACACTAAGTTTAGCAAACTCTAAACTTGGAACTAGTTCTTTTTGCCCAATTCACTTTCTGTATTTTTTTTCTTTCTCATTCCTCTATCAGGTGATGATTCATTAAAATTGTGGGACATCCGACAGTTTAATAAGCCACTTTTTTCAGCCTCAGGTCTTCCTACCATGTTCCCAATGTAAGTAGCATATTTTTAATATTTGATAAGTGTGAGAGAATAGAAAAGAAATTTCTTTACCTTAACATTAATTTGTATCATGTCTTTTAGATATTCTAGAAAAGGAATTTGAAGAGTGATTGAAATTGGTTTTTGAAAGATTCATTTTATTTTTCCTTTTCATTTTGCACATTCTTCAGAAAAATATTTTTTTGAAGTTGAAATGATGTATGTTCTTGCATTTGTGTGTGTTTATATATTATATCCACTCATAGGTCTTGGAGTAGTAAAAATATTTTAAGGGATTGAATTGTTCTTTTAATATTGTATAAATGACAAGGTAGGCCTACATATTTGTTGTCTTTTAAAATTTGAACCCTCATACCATCAAAGCAATTTTTCAGAGTTACTGAGCATTATTTTATTATCACTTTCTCAATTATTTTCTTATCATCATTCTAATCAATAATTGGGTAAGCCTCACTTGTTCAGACTGTCTCGCTGTGGTAGCTGAACACAGTTGTCTCCATCCTACTAAGTTGACAACTAAAGCATTTAAAGATTTTTCTGAGGCAGCTGAGGTGGGATTTGACCTCCAAGTCCTACAGTTGGTGCCTAAGCAAAATTTTCTATTTTGGTAAAAATAAAATTTCACATCTGTGTTAAATAATGCCCGACAGGGAGAGCACATGAAGGTAATGGAAGCATCAAGTGGAGGAAGCTGAATAATAACAGAGCACTAACTCTAACGCGGTCTGTGGCCCATGGCATTTATCTGTTCAAACAAACAGATGGACAAACAAGCATGAATTCATAGCTGATGAGAATCTTTTGAGCTGTTATGCCTGCTAACTACGTAACTTCTTTGGATCATGTCTTAGATTATTCACAATCAGGTGTGCCAGATCTCCAATAACAAGAGCTGTTGACTCATAGCCATCAATCAGGTTCTGGTGGTGCAACCTGCTCCTCATTTCATGGTGCTTGACTTGACAAAACTCAAATTATGTGAGTGATGGTGGTGGTAAAAAATAGTTCCAAAACTGGTGAAAATAATCACTACTTAGACATTAGTCATACGATGTCTATTTGTGTATATACTCTGTCAATGTCTGTATTGAGTTTTTCCCACACTCTCTTTACATTAAAAAATATTATAATGTGTAGAAGTTAAAAAGCTGGATCAGACTGCCTAAGTTCGAATCCCAGCTGCACCACTTACTTTTGTGATCTTGGACAAGGTTTATTTAACTTCCCTCTGCCTCAGTTTCCTCATCAGTAAAATAGGAATAATAATATCTACCTCATAGGATTGTTGTGAAGATTAAGTGAATTAATATAAGTGCTTAACTTATTGTAAGCCCCGTATAAGAGTTATCTCTTATCACAATGATGTTGTTTATATTTTATTTAACTCGCTTACTGCACTGTTGTGGGGTCATAAGCTTACAATTATAAACTCTTTTTTTCTGTAGGACCGACTGCTGTTTCAGTCCAGATGATAAACTCATAGTCACTGGCACATCTGTACAAAGGGGATGTGGCAGTGGCAAACTTGTTTTCTTTGAGCGCAGGACTTTCCAAAGGGTGTACGAAATAGACATCACGGATGCGGTATGTATATTCTTTTCTCTCCAGCCTTGAGAATGAAGTGAAGTTTGCCTCGTAGCCATCTTGGTTTTTAAATAGAACATAAGCCCTGGCTGGTACAGTGCAATGGTGGCTGCTTTTTCCACCAAAACAGGAATTTTTAGTACATTACAGACTGGCTGATCTCCCCTGTCCCCTCCCCGACCCAGTATTTCCTATGGGCCCTACGTCAGTCAGCATTAAGGCTGGGCCTGGGATGTTTCACCCGTCTGCCAGCCAATTTGAGGAGAGCAGAAGCTGATCGTCATGTAAGATACAGAAAGGAGCTTCCCACATGGTATATGTTTGTGAGGATTCGGGGGTTGTGGACAGTGAAAAGTTATGCCCTCAGAAAGTGGTGAAGTGTATCATTGTTTGAAAACCTTGGAAACTTTGACAGAATTCTGCTTGTCAGAGTTGTCATTAGGGTAAGACTTCTCAGCTTCCACCGAGTTTAATTTCTGTTTAGTTATTTGAAAGTTTAAAACAATTCAGATTTAGCTTCTGTATTTAAAAAAAAAAAACTCTTTAGTTTGCTTTACAGATTTGTATAGGCACTAAAACACCAGCATACATGCATGCATTCATTCATTCATGTCCTGGGACTGGAACCATATTTAATGCAATAATAGTGAAGATTCCCAGAGGAAAATCTGAATTCCTTTAAAGTCTTTTAAAGTATATATTATTATTTAGATGGTAAGGCAAATCATTTTATTTTCTGAGTATGAAACAGGCCAATTAATGTCTGTGTAAATTTTCTTTGGCTCGTTGTCAGATTCTTTAGTAACATCCTATATCTTAAACAGAGCTCTTATGTAGGTTCTCCAGTTGTTTCAGCTCTTTGTAAACAGTTGAGACATATTAGGTACTTAAATGATTCAGACAATTGAACAACTGTTTTGAAATCACGAGTAAAAAGCTGTTGTCTTTAGTGTTCTAGTATTACTGTGGAGTCTTAATTTGTAGGCCCTAAATTTGAAACCATGGTAGAGTGAGTTAGAGACAATGAACTAACAATGAGACTGATTCTAGATGAGTACTTAAATTTAAAGATTGTAATCTCATGACGTAATCTGAAATGTGCCAGCACTAATAATACTTTTTTTGGGTACATCCAGCAGCCAACTAAAACATCAGAATCAAAGAAAAATACTCTTGACTCTATCAACTTTAATCTCAAAAAAATGAAATTATTATAATTGGTTGTTCCAGATGTAAGCTGTGTTCTGTTATGGCTCTCAATGACAATACATCTCAGTATTACTCATGGTGTTGTGTTTTAAGATTGTAGTTTAAATTGAAACATAAATAATTAAGAGATGTAGAAGTATGATTGCACTTTTAAAGACATGCTGCATTTCTGTAGGGCACAGAACATGCTGTTTGCTGTGTTGCTCTGAGTTGCTTTTCTACCTAGATCTGTTTCTCCATAGCACTTACTACCACTTCATCTAATATGTATTTGTTTGTTTTTGTCTGTCTTCTTTTACCAGGAGGTAAGAAACTTTGTTTTATTCACTGCAATGTCCTCAGTGCTTAGAACAGTGCCTGGCACATAGATGGCACTTAATCAGTATTTATTGAATGAGTGAATGGTGTACTTGAGAAATGCAGATAATGCATATTGTAGACCACAGGTGTGTCTTGGGAGAATGAGGCAGGAGAGTAGTATCTAGAGAAGGAAAGGTACATTGACCTTGTATACCATAATAAGAAGGTGACTATCTTGTGGCTCTTTTTTAAAGCAAAGGGATGATACATTCAGATCTAGGTTTTAGAACAGTTAGTTTTTATTGAAATGTGAAGGCTAGGTTTACAAGATTTGGTATTCATTTGTATATGAAGACTAAGGTTTATAACTTGGGATACTGGGTCAGTGTTCCCTGAGATTAAAAAAGGAGAAGAAAAGAAAAGAAAAGAAAAGAAAGCAGGTTTTGGAAGAAAGACAGTGAGTTCTGTTGAAATGTTGAAGTACCTGTAGGACCTCTGGGTAGAGATGCTTAGTAGACAGATAGGTAGATGAGTTTGGTGCTTAAGAGAAAGAAGACAGTTTTGGGAGAAGCATTTATAGTTCCTAGTTGAAATGTTGGTTCTGGTTAGTTTGATTAAGGAAAGGGCACAAAGGATGGAGAAGATGAGCCCTCGAAAATCCGAGCATTTAAGGGATGAGCAAATGAAGAGAAGCAAACAAAAGAGAAGGCTCATGAAGTCAAGAGATTATACCATATATTGAATTACCTTAGAAAAGTCAGAAAACAGATTCTGAGATCCATTTTAATGGATGGATGAACAGAGAACTTCAAATAGAGACAAACCCACACACCTGAAAGTGGCCTTTTCAATCGTTGATTTAGGATTTGTTTGTCTTTTGTTGTGGTTAACATCAGACAGTATTGTTTTCTGTTTATGTAGTAAAATGATATGCTAAAAGGACTTTATACTGTCCCTTTGATCTATTTTCTCAAGTTGTGAGTCTTCTTGGAATGTAAGAAAATAAGCAAATGCATTCTTTGGAAGGGATAAAGAGAGTGGACATTTTACTAGAAGGGCCAGAAAACACCTCTTTTATTTTATTGTGGTTTTGGCATTAAAAATCAGGATGGTCATTTCTTTGGAAATAACACACCCTGCTGTAGTAATGTACTTACTGTGTTGTTTTAATGTACATTAAAGACAACATCTCCTATTCTTAGTATCAACATTTAGTGGTGTGCTTGTTTAACGAGGCACAGGCAACGGTGGCTTTAGTTCTATCCTAGATGTGTCCCCGTACTTCAGTAGAGTGTGATTGGTTATATTCTTCCCACACCCTCTTCTAAAACAAAATAGTCCCCTCGATAGTTATATTCTAGAATACCCAGCTCAACATGAGCATTATTTTCAGTCAGGGGATGTTAACAATCTGTACAGTTAATTTCCTAATAACTAAAAATTCTCCTACCATCTTCACAATAAATAGCTTTTAAAAGTCTAAGAATATTTATATTTATTTTTGAAATAAACTAAAAAAAAAAACTAGTTCTGTTTCCATTCTCTGCATTGTCGTATGCTCTAAAAATTTTTCTTTATTCAGTAGAAAAACTCTCACCTCTCTTCACTAGGAGGTGACAAATATTTTTTTAACATTTACTGTATGATATTTGTAGACATTTTACAATTCTGCTGAAATTATTTTTAGATGTTTCCTTTGTAGTCCACTTGTGTTTCCTCAAGTTAAAAAAAAAACACAACACACTCATACTCCTCATTTATCATCTAATTCTTTGTGATTTGAGTAGTGTGCTTAGCCTCTTTCCTAAGATAAATTCCAGAATGTAACTTCAATCTTGAGTTTACGAACTCACTTTTGTTTTTGTGTTAGACGGGACCCTAGGCTTTTTATATGTTGTGTAAAAGGCTTCCATTACTCTCTTCTGTGCAATAAAAGCATACGGGAGAAAGAATGGGCAAAATATAATTGGAGATGATGTATCAGTTTTTAAAAAAATAATTAGAAGAAACATAGACATTTTTAAACCTTTTCAAAGTTCTAGTTATATCAGGAAATGCTCTGAAAATAACATTAAAAACTATTGTTAGCTTAATAATTTTTCATCAAACTATAATTTCTTGCAAAATGACTTAATAGAATTTCCTTTTTAACTAACATAAATCAAGGTACATGGTTTATGCAGTTGTACTAGCGTATTACCATTTATACTCTTTAACCCAAGCTTAGTGAAATAAAGTTGTTTTGACCTGGTATTATTTAAGATGGTGGCCTCTTCACCTCAGATGCTTTTGGCAATAATTTAAAAGAGATAGCAGGCATTCCCTTGGGTAAAGAGAAGAAAAAAAGCCAGAAATTTCACACCTGCTGCTGACTTCTCTTCTGATTTGTTTCTTGGCTTAGGTACTCTGGTGAGAGACCTCTGTGTCTTAAAACTGACTGAACAAAGTGAGGAAAAGAAAGAAAAAAACTACACCTTTATTTTTAAAATACAGCCAAAGCATCTAGCACAACTGATCTGGCATGTGGCCACTGAAGAGAAGGGAAGGGAAATTTGCTCTGATATTTTCAACTAGACTGCCGTAAGCATTTCAAAGTGGATCGAGAATCCTTGTACCGACATAAGAAATATAATAGTACAGGTCTTTTAAGGAAGGAAAGAGCTCCTTTGTAATTATCTAAAGAATATTTGATTATCTTTAGGAACACTTTTTAACCACTGAAGAACATAGATAGCAAAGAGCAAGGATTATGTTAGATTTTTGCTTCTTTCTACCGTGACTTGTTCTCTAGAAAACTCCCTTCCTGTAGGAAATGAAATCTAAATTGTGCACATCTCATTTGTTCTTTACAAAAGAAGACTCAGAAGGTCTAGTATTAGGTGTCTTCTGTCACTTTGAAATCTTGTTATTAATTTTCATGCAGCCAGCTCTACAATCAGAGAAAGTGTATATTCTAGATCTGCCTTCCTGGAACTTTGTCAGTTGTTTTTATCTTCATCAAATGGAAAAAAGTGAAATAAAAATATTGAGTTTTCTGTTTGTTATTAACTCTGGCCTTCTCCTAAAAGATAGAGAAAACCTAAAGTTTTTCTACTAGATTGATTTATTTACTTACTATAAGCCCCTTATTATCAGGGGTATTGGTTGAAAAATATATAATTATTGTTAAAATTATGTTACAATTTATATTTTTACCAAAAGTAGGGGAAAATTTCTTATTTAAGACTGATTATAGAGATAGCCTACTATATATATTGAGGAGAAAGTGAGGTCCATATTGTGGAAAAAAAGATTTCTTTAAAAAAAAACTTTCCCTGAAAATTCCAACTATATTTCCTTCTTTATTTAATTAGGGAAGTTCTGAAGACAACTTGATTTCACATTATTTTTCCTTACCTTGTAAGATCTGATTCTTGATATATGCATTTCAGTGTGGACTATCAGATTAGCATTTTGTATTTTAATTGTATTTTTCTGGTTATAAAAGTAGT